ATGATCTAGGATTTGTTGTGCGACTCACCGCAATCACTAAATGTTGTTCCAATTGTGTGTACTGTTTTCGTTACGTTCATTGGTTTCACTTTCTACTTTTTGGCTTTTCTAAAATATGATAAATGCAACATGATCGAATGAAAATGGACGTCTGTCAGGCGCTGGTCGCATGATGGCAATGATTGGCAAGGCACCTCGCATCTTTCGCTCAGAAATTCTCTTATCTCGATGCTCTGAGGTGATCACCTGCCACTCTTTTTGAAGATGATTCAATCATATTCAAAAGAAAGAAGCTAAGTCACTCGATGAAAAGTACACCTACACCTTTGAACGTACATCATTACGTACAAGAAAAGTTAACAGCAGTAGGATTATTGATTTCGGCCAAACTTTTTCTGATAAATCCAGAGCTGAAGGAAGTAACACACTCGGGCGTTTACGCAAATGAGCATTGTTTGTAAAGATATTTTATGTTCACACTTAACTTTTTTGAGATACATTGATACATTGAGAAGGAGTAACTTCAGTATTTGATGTATATATACTTCTAAAATAGATAAATGTGTTTTATTATAAGAATATAAATAAAACGAATTAATAAGAATTATTCATCCACAGATGAAGAATGAATGAAAACTGAAAATTTATAAATGCCCATTTTTGCTCTGGAGTGGCTATAAAATATTTTATCGAAATTGATAATCCCATTGTTGTGTCCTGTCCTTGTTAGCTTTCGAACATATGGATGATCAAATTAATAATTTAATTAGATCACTAGGTAATTGATATTAATAGGATACCGTTTAATTTAAGTAAATGTACAGTGTTATCCTGTAAATGTACCTTTACACGGCATCCCAAAATGAACAGGTAACAATGATCGATTAACATTAATCGCGTTAACAAATGATCAATGACAGTGCTCTTGTGAAAGAAATGGTTAATGGTAGACGATGATGTTAACATGAGATACAGCATGTACAAGCCACTGTGATGATTTTTGCCACTCATAGCTGGATAATAAAAGAATAACGTTAGAGTAGCAAGAATCATTGGAGCACTGCGTACAGTGAGTGCATTCTTGTTAGTAAAAGCATCTTTACCTTTAGTAAGTCAAGTAATTTAGGAAAAAGTAGAAACTGTGTAGACACAGATATTGTCTGGTAGTTTCTAAGTTAACAATTAAGATCAATGAAAACATAACTCTAAAAGGCATGGTTCTAGTAATAAACTAATTAATGCACTACATCTTTATGTGTTTGTAACTTATTATACAAGTTAGAAGAAATCTGGAAAATATAAAATTCAACACAATTCAATAGTTCAGATTATTTTCTGTCTTCTGAACTAATTAATATTAAAACTGAGATTTTGTTCCCATTCAATTTTGCTACTTAGTTGCAACATTGCACCTTTAGAAATCTTGAATGACCTCTCCTATCAAGAATCACTCATGGATGCTGTACAGGAAAAATGAATGGACTTGTGAGTATTATATGTAAATGCTCGAGCCGCAAGATAAACAATGAGAAACAATAATACGTCAGGAGAAAGCATATGGGCAAGAAGATACTCCGTTTCCTTCTCAAGTATCGCAAGTCTCGTCACTTTTTATGATATGTGTCGCTATCGTGACGTACACCATTGAACAACGCGAGAATACCTCGATACACCTTTCGGATACTTCTATCTCTGAACTCACTTTTTCTTGAGAGTGAAGAAACTACGTCGCTTGGTCTCGGCCTGCGTTGGCGCTGGCAAGGTATGCGCCCTAGATGTGCTTGCGCCCGATGCACCCTGCGCTGATTGATTAAGCGCTGCCACCCATTCGTTCATCTCAGCGTCGTCTTTGGCCTGGAACAGGAAGTCCGATCCGCTTTGCGATCTGCAAAGTATCAATCGCTGTCAGAACTTTTGTTTCAGATGTTTGAACACACATTTCAATAGAATTTACAAAACAAGAAGAAGGACAACGTACAAAGATCAGTCAACGAATAGAGTTATGATAAGCACCGTAACAGAAGTAAGCTTAAAACATTATCTATCGGTAGTTACTGACCAGTTTGTTGAAAATTAATAATCAATGTTTAACAATCTTTTAACAAAAACTTCATTAACAATAGCAATTATACCTCTAAATTAGCAAATCGTAGTGAGTAACATAATGTAATTATTATTTGAAAACTATTGAAAATTATTAGTAATTATTCTTTTTGTATTATGCAATACATAAACGTTCTCTTCTTGGTGCGACGACTATGTAACAACTATTCATAGTAGCATATTGCCGCTTCATCGTCCCGCTCGTTGTCTAGAGAACTTACTTTACTCGGAAGACATGTTTCCTCTTAGTGTAATCGTTCGCCACGGTTATGGTAGCGCCCCTGAGATCAAGAGGAGCTTCTCCCTTGTACATTTGATCAGGTGCAGCCTTGTACGACTTCTGGTCCGTGTACACGTAGAAACTTTGCCCGCGCACGACCATGTACACCTTGTGCCAAGATCGGTTGGACGCCTTCTTCGTTGTGCTCTCCCATTCGTGTTTTCGTTGCAACACGCCCTCGAATTCGTCGTCGGTGGGACTTCGTTGTTCTGGAAAATTCAACGAGCCATGAGGCAACTGTTCGCCAATTGTTCAGCAATGCTACTTCATTTATCCCGTTTCAGATAACGCGCAGAACATAAATCACCAATGATCAATTTTGAACAGGAAGACCATTGAACGGTTACCGGACTCGTTAGAGGATGCCGAATGCAATTCAAACACCCAACGTACAATACATTTTTGATTAATGGGATGCAAACAAAACTTAACATTAACGTTAGCATGACTGTAATACCCTAAGTTGTTAATCTTTCGTATATTCCTCTGTGCATGAGAGAAAAGTAAAAGCAAGATGAATGTTCCATAAACGTTCCGGTGCTGAAAATCAAACAGATTAGTGGTTCTCTGGTTCAGCGAGAGATTCCTCGGGGATCCCCCGCACCTGGATAACAAAGAACATCGTCGAGTTTCTCGCGGCAAGAATATTCTGCGGGTACAGGTTAAATTCACGTGTAAAGTGATCATGATTCTTCGTTATCATGACTTTTATCATCCTTTCCCGTGGATAGACGTAGACAACGGATGTGACCGTTGAAATGCAGGAAAGAAAGAGAAAATTAGGTAGGAATAGTCCAGTTTTTGATCAGTGTTTGATTGCTTACCAGAAATGCTGCGCTCATCATCACTCACACCACTGCGATCTAAACTCGGCGACTTGGCGGACTTTCTCCAACGGAAGCTTCTGAACGGCGACTTGCTGCGACTACGTTCCTTACGTCTTAATGTACCAGACTCGGAACCGCTTCCACCTTTCGGAGCTTTCAAACGATACACGCAACACACACGTGAGATTAATTAGCTACTTACTTCCTTTACCTCAACGTCTTTCGACTTAATTCGCGACAGTATTATTTTCTTTTTGACACCTCTACCGTTGCGTCTCTACCAGGTCCGAGAGGTCATAAGGGGCCACAGCGCTAATACAACATGCTCATGCAAGAACGCTGGGACCTCTGTGACTATATATTTTCAACATACAGATGCGCGTGATTGCTGAATATTCATTGAAATGAAAACATATGTGAAATAATACTAATGTTATACACTAGTGCTGGATTCGATATTATACAATGATATTTTGTGATCATCTACGCTAGAAGGTACTATACTTTTGTAACATAAACGTGAACGTCAATTGTTAATGCAATAAAATTAACTTCTATTTCGCTCGAAACATAGGATTTATCTAGCAAATTTATATCTGATTCCAGATATCCTAAACTGTCCATCGAAGTGTATGTTTGAACAGACACCGGTAATATAGGACATTTTTTTTCTTTTCTCTGTTCGACTTTTGTTTCAAAAGGCGGATAAGACACTCGGCAATGTTCGTATTCCTCGAGTGGTTAATTAGAGGAAATTAAAAGAAATAATTATGTCTATTGTGGAACCGTATCGTCAAGATGACGATTCGATTGAAAACTTTTGTTGCGGTGAAGCGTTGACAAAATCAGAGGAACCTGTGTTCCGTTTAGTGCCAGCGATACTAAATCCTGCGCCGTATTGGTCCGCGATCGCGGTGGTCGACACAAGGTTGAAAAATGTATCGCTGAACGATTACAAGGGGAAATACTTGATTCTGCTTTTCTATCCGTACAATTTTACGTTCATTTGCCCCACGGAACTGATACAGTTCAACGACCGCTTGGAAGAGTTTCAGAAGTCAGGTAACCGTTGATAGATCTATATCTATCTATCTATGTTGTTATATTAAAAATTCATTGTAACCTCAAACTTTGAGCTGAAAGTTCTTAGATTCCCTTAAAACCGATCTCTCGAAAGTATTTAAAGAATCAATAATAAAACTTCCCCGTTTAACCCCTTGCTTTATGACATTGAGTGTCACTCATGATGACCATTCAAAACTGAACATTACGAATATAAATAGTATCTTTCTCTTTCAAGTTGATATTATATATATCTTTTTATAATATTATCTTTCAAATATTTAGATAATATACATAAAAACAAACATAATGCGAAAAATGTAATATTACTTAATTAAATTGTGTTATTCTTCGTACAATTATCTTACCTAAAGCGACTACTTTATAATATTTACAACACGGAAAAGTTTCCAAATAATTACCGTTTAGTTGAATAAGTAGAACTGTCAATATATAATATTAATTATTAAGAATAATACAACTTTAAAGACGACAGTCGCAATAAGAATCGTAAGGCAAGGGGTTTATTTTAGTTTTCCCAACGCGAATCAAGGAAAATTTCAATTTTGTATGTGCCCTTCGATGACTAAAGACTGTGAAGTGGTAGCCATTTCCACGGATTCCCAGTTCTCCCATTTGGCATGGGTCCTGACCCCACGTAAACAGGGCGGCTTAGGCCACATGCAGATTGCTATGGTCTCCGACAAGAATCACGAGATATCAAAGGCGTACGGGGTGCTCGACGAAAAAGAGGGTGTCTCGATGAAGGGTTTGTTCGTGATTGACAAGAACCAATTGATCAGACACGTCTCGATCAGCGAACATTGCTTAGCGAGGTCCGTTGATGAGACTCTGAGGATCGTGGAGGGTTGCATCTTCGGGGAGAAGCACGAGAATGTCTGTCCCAAATTATTCAACGTCGCGTGATCAGAAAAATTGGTTTGGTTAAAAACTTTTCTTATTTAATGTGACGCTTATATTATAATATGCGAATAAATATATAAATAAATATCGTAAATGAATATTATGAAATACGGTTGAAAGTTGAACATAGAAAATATACAGTCTATCGGCGTTTAACACTAGAACTACTAAACAGGTCAGAACGACGATGACGTCAGATTTCTTTTTGTACAATTATTAAAACTTAGACAACCGCCTAAAGAAACTGTAACTATAACCTTTTCCATGAACTTTACTCAAAGTCATTCAACAAATTTGAATAAAAACTGTGTTGCATAAAAGCAAGAAAGATATTCATTAAATTGCAAACATGCCTAGTTCAAGACTTACCAAATAGCGAAAGAAAAGAATAAATAAAATCAATGACAATGCGTTGCCAAGGAACAAGTAGGAGATCTCCCTATTCGATTTGATAAATGTTAGGAAGATATAAAAGCCACTCGGGGAATTATTAAACAAATTAATTTCACAGTGCGTACTATGAAATACAAATTAATCAAAATTTTGATAAATGCACTGTTCCACTTTATATGAGGAAATACGAGTTATTCAATTTAACTATTTGTAGTTGTAGTGTACATTTTGTGGAGTAAAATTTATTTGAAAAATTCCTATGATTCTAGCTTGTCTTACTTGGACTAACCAGGAGGGATTTTAATTACTAAAATTTCGTGCCACTTGCAATAAAACTTGTGAAAATAATTTTGCTCCTTATGATTGATTTTTTCTTGACCGTTCAATTGAATCTTGGAAGAAAAATGATATTGAAAGGACACATTGGTTCGTTCTAATTCTGACGATTTTTCCCATTGTTTTTGATCGAACGTTAATAAAGAGTACAGTGATCCTTGAAGTGAACTTACTTGTTGGAACGGATAGACCTTGCGGAGATTTCGTGGGCGAGGGAGTGGTGGGTGGTGATGCTCCTCCTCGCATGGATAGACGTGCAGGTTTCTGAGCATGCACTATACCACACACCAATTTCACACATGCTATACTTTTCGAATTAAATGGGGGGGATTAAGATGATTCTACTTAATGAATATACTAATCAAGCTTGATGGTTATACGATTATAAATAAAAAATTACACGAATAAAGAGGAAAAAAAACAAAAATTGGAGCAAATATTACTGTTAAGTTGCAACGTACTATAAGATACTAGGAAGATTTCATTCACAGAATGTACTGGAATGTAAAATATAAAATATTTCGCTTGTTAATAGTACATGTTAATGCGTGTGCTTGTAAAATATTTTATGCATTTGAAATAAATAAATTGAATGATTAGAAGAAGAAGGTTGCAGAGGTAAAAGCATCAGCCGATGCCAAGATAGATGATGCATGCACAAACAAGCATAACTGAACGTTTACAACACCTTCAAACGTAACATTTCTCCTTACCTTTTCGATAACAAATTTACTTGATCGGAGAAAGCGATTGAGCTGAATACTGTTCGAATTTCATGTTCAATAATGAGTTTCGATTTTCAATTACACTTGATCAGTGCACCGAAGAGTAAATGATTGTGCTTTGTCGCAGAGAGACTCCACCACCTGCCAAGAGTTAATACAAGCCAATAAACAATAACAAATCGTAATTAGTAGCGGTAGCTGCGGTTGCCCTATACGTATGCTGAAAGAAGGATTAAAAACGCACGAGAGTGCACAGCGAGGTTGAGTACTGTATATGAAAAGAAAGATTGGAAGTTCAGCAATGAAACGCTGCGACGTGAAGAGATAACTTAGCCATGTGCTCCATCACCAGCTTAAGGGATCAATCTAGCAGGATCTATATATAAAATCGAACGTAACTCAGCCATCAAATACCAGGGTCTCGTTTCGAAACTAGAATTTATAGCCACCCGGAATAAACCTACAGCAACACATTGTTCCATGGAAACAGGTGATCGTCTCTAAGGCACTGGTATTTAACAGGGTAACATAATTAATATGAACAGCATAATTAGTACACCGTGTTGTGCTTTCAATGTTTTCTCTATATCCTGAAAAATACTTTTCTCAACCTATTTGCACTCGACGTTTATTAAGAGACAAAACAAAACAAATCAAATGAAAGTAAGAGTGAGTTATTGAAATGTGATGTGAGACGAACGGAAAATGTGCTGAATGATTCATTATGTGCAGGAGTTAATGGTGTATAAGAATTCTGAAATGTTGTTAACGATAGGCAAATGGTTCCTTCGAAAGAACAATTTAAAGGTGAAACGTCTATGAGCGCGTTAGGGACAAAATTGATATCGTCGGGACACTCACCTTCCTTGGGCTTGTCTTGAGGCTGTGGTGTACGTGTAGAAGCCTTGCGATGTGCCACTGTGGTTTGTGCATTCCGTGCCGCATTTTAGGGTGCATTTAGGAGGGACGCAGAAGGATTACAATCAGGACGGAATCAGTTTCGAAAACGGGGTCGGACAAAGAGGCAAAAATAAACGTGCTGTTAGCAATTTCATGCTTATCCAAACAAACCAGTTTGTAAAACCAGTCGCCTAAGAGTTAAGTGTACAAGATACGTGGAAAGCAAAAACGTACGGTACACATTGTATTAGTAATACAATAACAAAAAAAAAATTGTTTTTAATGTATATGTATATTACTTATTCTTTAATAATTAAACCGAACATTCAATTGATCGTTATTCCCGATGTCAATATCCAAAGACAGATGATTCGATTCAACGAAATAAAGACGAAGAAGATCTTGTTTACACAAGATGACGAGCGAGAATAATACGAAAGAGTTTGCTTCTACACAATTATATCAAATAATGTTTCATAATACAAATTCGTCGCTTATCATCTGAATAGACATTTTGCCCATCTCTGCCTGAAGAAACCAAAGCTTCCAACATAAAATCTATTCCTTCGAGAATCTAATCATATTGAATGAATTTTTGTTACTCAGATCCACAATCGCATTCTGATAAGTACGACATTCTTATCAAACCGTTTTTTAACATGTTGCGAAAACAGCATAGTTGGCTTACCGTGTGATTCATCCTCACCAGCTGTACGTTCTCCGCTAGTTACACCTTCAGCTTCGGCTCTGTTAGAAAAGAAGAGGACTTATTAATAGTTTCCATATCAAATGAAACAAAATTAATTCAAAACATTATTCCTAAGTTTCAGTGTCCAGTGCATTGGGACTATATCGATTACTGGACAAATTGAACCGTAGTGTATTTTCAAAGAGTTGAAATATAGTAGCAAAGTGTACCTTTCACTGGGCGGTTCATCTGGACTAGTAACTGGTGTTGCTTTAGCTAATCGAGCTGCCTCGGCTGCCGCAGCCTCCTCTTTCTTGCGTCTCTCCTCCTCTTCTCGTTCTTGTTCTCTCCTCTTCAATTCTTTCAACTCAAACTGTAATACACAATTTGATTTCGATTGCAGAGCTATTGAATACCTTATGTTGCTTTTCTAACATTAAACAACTAAATATATCACTTCTTATTATCAGTAATATACTAACCGTAGTGAGTCGATGCAAGGCACTAAACCTTTCTTCCTGCGCAGCTGCCGATTTTTCGAAAGCCTCATGTTTCTTGATTAAGTTTTCGACCTCGTCAATTGTATGCTGCAAGAATTACAATTACAATGAATCCGAACTTAACAAAAATTTGTTACTGTCAAGTCAACCCAATTGGACCCAGCACTTACTCCAAGTTCTTGACTCATAAGGTACGGTTCCTGAGCGATTAGCCACGCCTCGGCAACCGCTGCATCTCTGGCAAACTGATAGACTTCCAAAACTAAAATCCAGAAATTATTTTACTTACTTAACAAAGAGAATGATAACAATACATAGCATAGTATCATATTGAATACATACTGAGCTGTAAGTTTTCCCAACGTTCCTCCCATCTATGTAGCAACGCATTTCTGTGATCAGTGAGAGCCGCCAGTTTCTCCTTGATCTGAGTGCTGGCGTAATGATTCCTAGCTAACAAATCCTTTCCAAGGTTAATACAAGCCAACAAATTATCCTCCCTGGCATCAATCTCAGCCTTCAGGCTTTGGTGATTGTTCATCAGTAACTCGACTCCAGCAACGTCTCGAGGTTTCTCAGAAGTGTTCATCTGGCGCACAACGTCGTCCATCCAGATCATCAGAGTTCTGACCATGTTGAAGAAGCGGTAGAGATCGCCAGTGTCTTCCAGTTTCGCTCTTCTCTCCTCGCAGAGAGACTGAAGGTTGTTCCAAGAAGCCACCACTTCGCCTTCACGGTTCGTTATCTCTCTAGCCTTATCACCAGCATAGCTAGCTTGCAACTTAGCGGATTCCTCTTGGATCTGAGACACCTGACTCTGCAAGGTGGATAAATCTTGCATGAAGTTACCGTGCTTGCGCTGTAGAGCAGACACAGAGCCAGCGTCGCGACCGAGCTCATCGGACATCGCATTCTGTTTCTCCAAAATTCGGCCAAGGACGTCCTTGCAATCGTGGAAGAACTTGTGCAGTTCTCGACTGGCTTGAAGCATCTGTGTACGTGTTTCAATCAACTCAAGCAAATCTTGCCAAGCTTCGTTCAAACCATCTTTCCATTCGGCAATGGTTGCTGCATCTGAGTGTCCAGTAGCAATCAATGAATCCGCGATTCCATTCACTGCTGCTACCCTCTCTGAACCTATTGCTTCGGTGTCTCTGGCGAATTCCTTGAATCTCTCCCATAGAAGAGTCACATGGTCATAATCCTGGCCCAACTCGTGGCTTCCGGCGACCAGTTCTCTCTCCGCGATCCATTGCTCCAGATCATCCACTTCTCTGTTCAGCATGAACAGTTGGAGAGCCTCATCTAGCTTAGCTCTTCGTTCTCCGGCTAGGTCTTTCAGTCCAGCGTACAGTTTATCAACCTGTTATGGAAAACAATATTTGTAACATGTTTCATCAACTATTGGCATTATCATATATACTCAGTTATTTCGTTGCAACGATCTATATTTAAAGAACAACTAATAAAATAATAAATCTATTTACCTGCGATTGCTTAACAGCGATTTGATCAGCTAGAGGATGTTGATTATTGATCAGCTGCCTGGCGGTCTCCCCAAGCTGGCGTATAGTATCTGCATAATCCTCAACAGCATGCTCCAAGGACTCGTGTTTCTTCATCAAATTCTGGGCAGAGATCTCGTCCTTGCCACGGTCTTCTACCATCATGTACAACTCCTGCTCGCTCATCCAGGATTCCGCCTCGGTCGCATCAAAGAAGTACTGCTGAGCCTTCTCGTTTTGAAGCAAATGTTTGTTTCTGTCATCCACTGCATCCTTCAACTTCTTCCACTTCTCGGTCAGCTCGGATATCAATTGTTGGAACTCGGAACTGTCTTCGTGTCCCTCATCAATCAATTTCTGTCCATTGTTGCAAACCAAATTAATCCTGGGCTCATGGTTCTCGATTTCAGTGCGTAGCGATTGATTCTTCTTCTTAAGCATGTGCACGTTGAACAAAGAGTTGCCGTACTCGCTGCTGGTCGCCTGAGGCATCTTCTCGGCGATCCACAGTTTCTCATCCTCAACATCACGCCTAAACTGGAATGCCTCCTTCTTTTTCTCCAATTGGCGCTGGCGGTCGATCAACGGCGCCTTCAATTGGGCAAATCTCTGCGCTACCTTCTCCTTCTTGCACTTGATCTCTTCCATCTTGTCATCCGGCACGGTACGCTGCAGGTGTTCCGCCTGTTTGTCCAACTCAGTGACCTGTTTCGCCTTCACCGCCATCTGTGTCTCGATCATCTGTTGCTTCTGCATCAGAATATTCACCGACGCAAGATCCGACCCGGTGTCCGTGCTTTCGATCTGCTTCTCTAGTTCATTCATCCAGGAATCAATGTCATCACAAGTCTGGTGTATAAGGACCTCCCTGTTCGCGTCGAACAGACGTTCACCTTTGTCGTGGGTAGTGGTTTCGAGTTCCTCGAACTGGTCGGCCAGTTCTGCCACCTTTGGTTTAATAATCTCGGCTAAGTCAGGCTTCTGTTGGATCAAGTCTTCAGCGGCCTGTTGCAGTTGTTGAAGACGATCCTTGTTGCTCGCTATCTCCGCCTCGAACGCCTGATGCCTGGTCCACTTGCTGTGCACCGTCTTGGCGCTCCTGTAGGTCTCATCTTGCGCGGTAATATGTTTCTCTTGCACCCATTCGCCCAACTCCTCGCAATCCTGAAGGAACATTTGCAGCTGTAACTGATCCTTCAACTTCTCCATGTACTGGTTCGCTTTGTCGCGATTGATCTGCCGGCGCTCGTTGATGTTCTCCGCCTTCTTTTTCACCTTGTCTGCAGCAAAGTGTCCCTGGTCAACCAGTCTACCAGCAAACTGCACCACCGAGTTGATCTTCTCATCGTTCGCGTCCATAGTAGTCATGAACGCTTCGTGGCGCTTGATCATTTGCTCCGCCTGTTCGAAGTTCACAGGTGTCTCATCTTTTGCTAAAACGTGCTCTTGTTGGGACAGCAACACTTCGGCCTGGCGGGCATCGCGATCGAACACCTGCAGGTTCAGCGAATTCGATAACAAGATCTGCCTGTTCACCCACATCTGATGCAACTCTTCCCAGCCCATCTTCAACGCGTTCAAACGTTCTCTCAGGAACATGTACTGAGTATCACCGTCGCCGGCCTCGCTGGTCAGTCTCTCTCCGTACTCCATCATCTTCTGGTAGTCGCCGGTGTAATTATCGATCTCTTCCTTGATGTTTTGATGTTGCGTCAGAAGCTTCTCCGCATCGGCCAATGTGGTCGGAGTGTCCTCACTGGCAACGTCGGTCTGTGTCTTCGTCAACCAGGCCTGGAAGTGATCCAGATCTCTCAGGAATCGATGAAGATCACCAGCTTCCTCTAATTTCGCGTCACGCTCCTTCAACATCTGCGTCAACTGCTCCCAGATGGTGTGTATCTGAGCGATCCTGTCGCGTATCACTTCAGGATCCTCCAAGTTCTGCTGTTGAATATTCTGAGCTTCCAGTTCCAGAGCGTCTAATTTAGCTTGTATAGCTGCCAGATCGCGTTCCATGCCGCTGAGACGACGCTGAAGAGTCATTACACCTGTGAGGTCCATCTCCAGGCTGTCGGTCTGCTGGAGGATTCGTTTCTTGTCCTCTATCCAAGACACAGTCTCTCTGCACTCTATGTGGAAGGTCTGTACGCCGTGAGCGGAATTCAATGCATCCCTCTTGTGATCTGCCTTCTCTCTTAATTCAGCCCACTTCTGATTCAGCTCGTTCTGTCTAGCGACTATTTGCTCGGAGTTCGGGTGCTCCACGAGCAACAATTGCCTGGCCAATTGGTTCACCACAGCGACCCGCGAAGCATTCGCATACATTTCCTTCTCGAAGCCGTTATATCTATGCTTCATGATCTCCACATCTTCGATATCCTTGGCTGGCACCATGGTCTCCAGCATTCTGTTCTTTTCGCCTATCCATTGCTCGACCCCGTCTGATTCGCTGAACAACTTGTACAAAGACAGAGCATCCAATAATCTCTGCTTACGCAGCTTGGCCAGCTCCATCAGCTCCTTGTACCTCGAGTCAATGGAAGCCAGTCGTTCAAGCACTTCTGGTGATTTAGCATCCTGTTCGCCGAGACCTGACGCTTGCTGATGAAGCTGGTCGATAGTGGTAGCATAATTCTTAAGCTCATCGGTGACATCCTTATGCTTCTTCAACAGAGACTGAACGTTGGCCTCGTCCCTACCAACATCCTCTGAAGACACCAATCTCAGTGTATCCAACATCCAGATGTCTATGTCATCAGCATCAGCGAATAATTGATGATAGTCAACAGCCTCTTCCAGGCGCTTTCTTCTGAAGGCGGCCAAGTCGAGAAGATGGTTCCACATTCCCAAGATTTCTTGGAGTCGTTCTGTGATACGATCAGAGCCGAAGTGCTGCTGACGAACCAACTCATCCCCGACCGCGACCACTGACATCAATTGAGGCTCGTGGGACTGAATCTCGTTCTCTAGAGCTTTATGCTTCGACAGCAGCAAGTTAATCGTAGTCAGATCGTGACCGATGTCTCCAGTCGACACTATCTGCTCCTTCTCCTTTATCCAGTTTTCCTCGTCGGCCATGTCCCAGTAGAACTGCCAGAGTTTGCGGGATTCTTCAAGTCTGGCTCTGCGTTCCACGGCTAAACGGACTAGTTCAGCATAGGCGTCTTCGAGCTGCTGAACGCGTTCAACAATAATAGTAGGGTCACAGGGTCTGTATCCCTCACCGTGTTCCAAGAATCTTTGACTCTGCTGGACGACGGCTTTTACTCTTTCTCCCAAGACATTTATATCAGCTTCGACCAGAGAATGCTTTTGCAGAAGATCCTCCACGCCCATCAAGTGTTTGCCATAGTCGTCGGTCAACAAACGCAACTTGATTTCCTCCATGCTGTCCAAGATGTATAACATTTCCTGGAAGTTCTGTTGCAGCTGCAGAGACAGTTCCAATCGCATCCGCCTAGCTCGCAATAATTCCAGAAGATAATTCCATAATCTGAGGACATTATCCTTGCGGGCATTGATTCGTTCGATATCGTGATAGTTCTCGGCTTCTAGCTCCTGAGATACTGCCATCACTGCTTGAACTCTCTCCTCGTAGGCGAAGATGTCGGTTTCGATAGCCTCGTGTTTTTTGGCAGCAGCCTCTACCGCAGCTAAATCAAAACCGAAGTTGTCCTGGGAAACCAATCGCTGGTTCTCAGATAACCAGGTCTCCCTCATGCTAGCTTTGCGATTGAACCTCGCTGCCAGTTGTTCCAGCTTCTCTTGACGGATCAACTCCTCGCGAAGAGCCAGTTCCCTTTCGTGTTCAGCTTTCTCCAATCTCTCCCAAGCTTTATTAATGTCGGCTATCATCTTGCCTTCCCTAGGTGTATAGGGTTTCTGATTGTTAGCCCTCATTTTGGATTGCAGCGTGAACAGAAGCACTTCCAGGTTGCCTTTCTCTACAAACTTTGGAGGTTTCTCTACGGTACGATAGTTGGAGAACTGCGAGAGCTGAGACTGAACGCCTACCAAAGAATTGGCGAACCTGCGGTCGCCTAGGGCCTCAATGGTACCCTCTATCCAACGCAGCAGATCACTAGTTAGGCTCTCGTATTCGTGGATCATACGATCATTCTCCATGGCAATACCAACAACTTTTCCTATTCTTTTACCTTGGACAGTTTCTTGTTTCATCTTGGAGAAGTAATGATAGTAAGTAACCACGTAGGTGATAATGGACTTTTCATCAGGATGGTCAACGAATATATCCTCTGCATCGAGGAGTTTGGTGAGGCCTAGTTTATCTTCAGCAACATTGAACGCGTTGTTGAGATTGTAGATGGCGTTCGCTTTGGACAGTTTCTCAAATTGGATCAAGTCTGGTCTATGCTTGTGGATGATAGCGTTGAAGGCCAAACCGTCCCGCCAGGAAGTAGTGAAATTCCGTACGTTCACGTTATGGTAGCCTGCTGTCTTCATCTGACACCAGAGGAGCAAGGCATCCTTGGCTGATTTCGTCTCTTGATTATCGGTCTCTTCAATGGTGATGTCTTGGATTTGGAACCGTAGGATGATGGTCCAGATCAGACCCAAGCTCAACCGTGGATTCCCGTCGACTATATCGTGGGAACCCATGTTCTCCAGATGCACCCTTTGCTCCCGAAGGAACTGCAGCGCTTTGTCGACGTTCTCCAAACAGTGAATTCGCATTTTTCCTTTCGTTGGTCGCGGCAAACGTTCCCCGGAGAGGATCTCTAATAGCTTGATTAGCATCTTCCCGTCCCGAAGGTCGACGTACAGATCGCCGATTCGGCATGAGCAGCGAACTAAGTGGGAGTTCACCCATTTTTGGAAAGTCTTCTTTTGTACTAATTCACGTTCACCTGGGTTAAGAAGAAATAACAAAAGATGCAATTAAATTCGAGTATTTTGAGAATCGTTTATAAAGAATAAACTACAGACTTTGATGGGAGCTCACATTTTTTCAAATAGATTCATTCGTTTTTGCTACGAAGGCACTGCAATTTATTAAAAATAACATGAACCAGAACAATGCTATAATCAAATAGCAATAACTTCTATAATTATAAATTTAGTAACTAAATATCCACAGATTAGTTTTCACTGCTTTTACCTTTCAAATTGGAGACAATCTTATCGTAATCGGCTCCGGATTCATCGTAATTTATCAGACTATCTCTATTTACCATTTTTCTTCACCGATACTATTTTCAAACTTTAAGTGCACAAAACTGATAGATTGATGTTCGCCTAACAACTGTTAAGAACTATTCTCAAACAGCAGTGACTTTAAAATATCTAGTTTATCAAAGTGATATCTGTATCAAAGGATGTGGTAATAAACGATACAGTGTTCAAAGTATGTAACAAAATACAGTTACGTACAATATTTCCTTCCCTAATAGTTTCATTATAATTTTTCTTTTATTTTACAGAGACTAAAGATCATCATAAACATAGAATAATATTTTAAAAAAGTCTTTCAGGATCAGGTGAATATCTCATCAGAAGACAACGAACCTTTATACAAAATAAACATTTCCCAAATTAATAGGAAGGAAGAAGAATGAAATACAAGCTAATTTTTTTAGATCTAAACATGTTGAAAAATTTCCGAACGATTCGCGATGAATTTAATCAATACCGTGATCAATGAGCAACGATACACTTCAATATTGTTTAGCTCGCATTAGCGGGAACATTATGATTTGCTGGAATACAATTATTAATCCAATAAACATGAAAACGAAAGACCACTGACAAGTGGAATTGAACTTGACTGACGAGTTAACTCGTTATCTCCAATTAAAAGGTTAAATCTTCATATTTTAATAATACAACTTCTCTATATATTCTATGCCCTATGTCTACTAATCAGTCCTCAAAGGGTCGTGAGCAAAAAAGAATAGTTACCAGCTAACGCCTTGATTCGTGAACGTTCGAAGAGTCTCGAGCTCGAGTTTCCCCCGTCGTATTCGTACTCATCGACAATCTCTTGTTGTAGCGTGGGGTCCCAACCCCCGCGCACCACCGAGATGTCGGTCGTCATTTTGTCAATCGGACCAACAACTCACTTCTATCTTACCCTTCGAAAGGGCGCTCCTGAAACAAAACATAACGTGACATTAAAGCCCTCGTCCTGTGACATCTTACGTAATCCAGGTCGCTGGAATCACTCTGTCGTTAATAATTCACCAGAAACAAACAAGAACTCCGTGTTCGCTTGCATCCCCGTTTACTTCAAAGCATAACAATTAACAACAGAAGAATAACGTCTAATTGAACATCGAAAAAATTATGCGACAATCATTTCTTAACATTAGATTCATTCTACATTCAACACTTTCATTCTATTGTTCTTAGAAATATGATGTTCATGTAGATCTTGGAAATTATACGGTGAACACTAAACGATTAGAATACACATTCACGTAACTGTATCAAAATCGTATATTTACGAAATAACGTTCGTCACACTCGATGTGCGTTAAATTGACGTGTCCCATAAACCTAGTGTTAAATTTCCATTGCAAAACTTGCTCGTGCCCAAAAACAATGAAAACGCGATTGGATCAAAGAAGACTCGAAGAACATTAACGGCAGCGTATGAATGGCGAAGCTTCGCGTGAAACCCGCCAACCAAATCTCCATAAGCAAACGCATAATAACTCTGTACCCTGATCACTGTTTTTTCTTTTCTATTTTGTTTTCTATTCGCAACGCGATCCGGTGACCGGCTCGAGCAACTTCGCCGAGATAAGAGCTGCAAGCTAATCTTATCTCCGGTCTACCGTGTGCTCTCTGCTGTGTGCTTTACGTCGGGCGACGAGATAACGGTCACGAACGTTCTTTCCCTCGTAATTAAGCGGGATCGACGCGCCGAAACGAAAGTGCTCGTGATTCCACGACGTCGTGAACGCGTGACCGGTCCGTAATGCTTTCGGAATAATCGTATCCGCGCGCTCAATTCGCGGAACACTGAATTAAAAACCTCCCCGATCGTCCCGGCCGACGCGGTGGTTTACATTTTTCTTTCCGTGGTACAATTCTGACGGGAGAGTGAAGAGAGCTGGGCGTGCCCCTATACACCGGGTGTCCTAGAAGTAGCCAACCCAATTCGAATGAAATTTCGAATATTTTGCACAACCTTTTTCCCTTGACGTGCACCAACGCGGTGTATCTCTAGAAATTCTTGAAACAATCAATAGATTTTCTTTTTTCAATTTTTTTAAAAAGGAAATTAAATTTCAAGGCCACCGAAGATGAAAGCACGCCTGTCTGCCGATTTTTAATACTCATGGATGAATAAAATAAAAGGATTTCATTGGAGAAATTTCAATTTAAGACGAATGGATGGAGCTTATCAAGGTTAATGGGAGTGGCTATCCTTTTCAAATAATGTTTCAACGCCCACTAGACGTAGTTTAATGGATAGGATTGGTTTTCTTTGGAGACAGCAAAGGCAATTGGCCCGTTCGAAACGATTGGGACGGGCCAATCCCCTCCATAGTGACTAATAACGCCTACCGTACACAGTGTAGATAAACTTTTAGGTTTTTTTCGGAGAAAACGAAGTTTATTCGTGGCTACTGGGCGTGGCCATGCTCATCGTATCACCTTGCAGAACACTTATGTAACACGTCCGTAGCTTTCAGTACACAAGCGATTCACTTTTTCATTAATGTTGAACGGGCGAAACGCGAAGAGCAAGGTATCAGCTAGAAATGGAACTAGTCTAACAGTGCATCAAGCTTTCTAGAATCTCGGCCACGTTACTTGAGTTCCCGTTGGGTTATAAAAATGTGCTTATCCGATCGCAGCGATGATATCATTACGAGATCATGTATTATTAATTTCCGTGCCGGCGTTCGCTTCGCGGAAGACTTAAAAAAAGCATTGCGAGAATCTCCCGAGAATGCCAATTCGGAGCTGCGATGATTATTCCGTTCGCTAATTGCACTCTTCGGACGCTACGCACCGGTAGTCTTTTAATGAATATGTTAATTAACGTTTCAGTGAAATAAAAATCATTTCACTATCATAGAACGGTTAGTTTGCAGTTCGATATGAATGACAATCGAAGGTCCCCGGTTGTTCATTGATGGCCAGTTCGCACTATTGTCAAGTGCGTGTACCGTTTATTTTCAGGACGGAACGGCCGAACGCGGCGCGTAAACGTTACGTTCCGCGAGGCGAGTGGGAGTACCCCGACGCGCGATTACATCACGCGAATGATGTCACACGTGCGAAATATGCACCAATGGCGTAGCAATGGAGATCGAACCAACCGGCACACACGTCGCGTTCTTTCTTGATACCGGAATCGAGTAATTTCCTACACTGCCGAGAAACTCGTATGGACGAGTGCACACGCGCACGAAGGAGGATACGACTAGCAATATCCCCAGCGTCAGTTTGATCGACGATCAAACGTCTCGCATTAATGCGGTTAGAAGATTCGAAATTTCTTTCGTTGAGAGCACGATTAACGCTGAACCTGAGCATTTTATGTATTTCTTATTATGTTCTTTCTGTGTTACTATTATCTAATTACTAATGGTATTTACTAAATAGATTTTAGGTACTAATGACATTTAGTAACTAGATTCCACTTACTGATCCTACGTAATGAGTAGGTATTAGTGGCCATCAACATTAGTTGTCTCATATATCGTTATTGTTTTCAATCAACCTGGTAGCGCCGGTCACCGGTGGCCACCGTGGCACTCGGCGCGTCAATGCAAATACACCTCGCATGTATTTCAGTTGAATCAGGCACACACCGTCGGAAGTAATCGCGCGCGATGACCAGGTCGAATGAGTTCATCGCCTATTAAGGTCCTTCGCCGCTTCAAAGGTTCCAAAGTGGCTCACGAGAGAGAAGCTGCGCTCCGCCCAAATGATTCGTGCCGTTTGACTCGCGCTACAGCACGACATCCGCAACGAGGATCATTCAAGCTTTTCGGAAGCTACCAGGATTAAATTGAATCAATGGGGTTTCATGTGATGAGCCAAAGCTGGGAAATCTTATTCGGTACCTGGGGAGATATCTAGACCAGCCATTCCGGGCCTTCGATGATTTACAAAGCGGACAGGAAGCCTCTGTTCCCACGACTGCGCATAAAGTACCTCTTGTTTTGCATTTCGTCCGCTACCAGCGACCGTTCATCGCGCCGCGACTCGAATAATCCGCACTTTATCCCATTCCTCGCGATTGAGTCACGTAATTGCAGAATATTACCGGACACCAACGATTCTGAATGAAAGGGGGCGTGATCTTTCGATCTTTTTTCTTCAAAGCGCCGACCGTACGTTCACCTTATTAGGTATCAGCTTAAGACGATTCGCGTTGCGTCTCGAAGGAACCGACGCAAGGGCTAATACGTTTTTCACGTTTATAGAATATCTGTTATTAACGAACCAACCGGCATATATAGAGAAATTTTCAACGATTCTTCCAACTCATTCAAAATTCAGGCATCGGGAGTCTTGGTGGATCTTCCTTCTTTTCAGCAGGATTGAAACACAGTACAATATTGTAAGGTCAAGGTGATACGTTACTTTTGAATCACCCTGTACTTAGACTTTTGAACCTGAGCAATCCGTTCTGTTGATCGATCGAAATTCATCAGACACATGATTCTTTCTGTACAAATAAACCAAAGTACAGGGTGATTCATATTCGCAACTTTAACACTGGAGTTACGGATGAGTCAAAATAAATGGATTTCGGGACTGTTCCTTTGCTACCGTTGGGAAGATACTCTTTTTGGGGAGATTATTAGACAAATAGACTGGTTTACTGCGCAGTTTAAAGTGCGAGTCAGTTGTGATTTCAATAAGTATACTTCCCTATGTATAAGAAAACAGGAACCACGCGATTTGGCTGTTCAATAGACTTAGCGGTAAGGACAAAATGTTACGTTAGCATAGAATCGCTGTGTGCTTCGAGCAACAAGCTTGGATTTTCTTCTGGTTAATTCAAGTTCAACAGAAAGCAAGCCGAGTCCGGTCAACCTTCTCCGATTATCGTGTCGTTCACTTTGTGATTCATTTCACTCCGCCCACACGGTGCAAAGGTACTAATGTTCGCGCGCGCGCGCGCGTCTCTCTCTCTCTCTCTCTCTTCCTCTCCGTGGCAATTCTCATTAAGTATGTCGCTGCTTGCGTGTAATTGCTCTTAATTCACCGTAAGTGTCTACCAGACACTTAAGAAACCTCGTACGTTCCCGCTTTACTTTCTTCTCTCCTTTTTCACCAGGCACCTTCGATCCCTTGAGGAGCCCACTTTAAAAAATTAGGTCGGAACGAACGCCTGGTATCTTGTCCATCTTCGAACGAGACCTCGCCGATCCTTAACGAATCTTTTGCAAGGTAAATATAAACGAAAACGCGTGAAACCTGGGAATATATAATTGCTCTCTAAGAAGAAAGTCGTCACCTATCTTTGATCGAATAGCATCACTACCTAATGTCTAGTTACTAGATACCATTGGTAACTAATATCTGGCTACCAAATATCATCAGTACCTAATGCCCAGTTACCAAACACTAGTAAGCAATATCTAGTTACCAAATACCATTATGCACTCAATTCCCCTGTTACTAAACAACATTAATACCGAACACCAAGATACTAAACGTTATTGGTAACTATATAACATAGTTACATAAGAATTACGATACGAAATAATTAATAATCGCTTCTACCTTTCTCTACCGCGAAACAATAAGCGATGTGTCAAACCTCCAAGATTCTCGTGACAGTGAACGTGTTAACAGACAGTTCCAACGACTCTAAATTATCTCGAAGGAAGAACGAGTCCGCGAACAAGGGTATCCCGTTTCGATCGAATCGAATCGAATCGAATGGGAGTTGATCACGAGATCGGTTAGGAATAATTCACGGAGACTCGTGTGAAATTCGAAAGTACCCGATACGCGTCGAGCGGCATCCGTGACCCCGTTGGAGTCCCACTCCTCGAGCAAAGGTTAAATAACGTGTCCGAGGTGGGACAGACGGGCACCCCGTCTATTTTTCAGCGTCGCGTCACGTCGGTGCACGTCCGTCTCTAACCGGCGGCCGATTTTTACCACCGCGG